TCGATTTTATATATATATATATATATATATATATTGTGAAGTAGGCACAAATCACATGGAACGTCAGTTATGTTGACGAATGTCAGAAAAACAGCTGGTAGAAGGATATTAGATAAGGATAGAATGAAAATATAGAATAGACTTTTTAGAACAAAGAACTGGACTCGGAAAATTTGAGGTTCTAGGAAGATTTTAAGAAGAAAGAAAGGGAGGAGATTAGAAAAAAGAATGCAGAATGTAAGGGAACTACAAAAGAGATTGGCATTAATTGATGTAATTAGACAGCAGCAAATTAAGGCAGCAATAGCAGAATATGACTATGATTATGTTCTGTGATATTTTTGTGATATGTAAGGATAAGAAATCTTACTTTTCTGTGAATAGGTCAACAGATAGATAAAGAAATTTATTAAATAGATAGTAAAAGATGCATAGGATATTGAAGTAAAAAATATATTTGATATTCTATTATATAAAGAATCTCATTTATTATATTATGATGATAAAATATTAATTTTTAAATAAAAATTGAGAAAAGATTAAGTCCTTCAATGTCTTACTATACATAATTACAATTATCAATATAAAAAAAAAATTTGAATTAAGGAACAAAAACAGACAATGATAATCTGTGTCTAATGAACTATTTAAAGGTTAAGAAAAGAATACGCGCGCTTCCAAATATGTTCGTATAAGATTAATATAAGCCATCCGGCAAACTTACGTACTCTTCTTTTATTAAACAAACACCCTTCTGCTTGTCTTCGCCATAATCGAATGAACAGTCCCAACATTTCTCATTGTAATCTGCCATTTCTTTACACGTGCACTTGAAAGCCGATGATTAGGCCAGACTAGACATCTGTCTCTGTTAGATTAATCCATTCATTAATTTTTTGGATAATTATACAGTTTAGATAAAGCACCTCGAAAATCAACAAAATTAGGCTTATTCGACGCGTTTTTGCACGAAACGAATCTGGCAAAAAAAGTGTTGCTCTGCCTGCGAACTGCGAAGCGAGATAAAATATCGTTAAAAAGTTAACTATTGTTAGGTTAGGAAAGCTGTCACATCGATGGCATAGAAGATTAGGTACACAAATTCTATTTCATAAACACAATTTTTCTGCTTTAAAAAAACAAATTCTCTGATAGCGTTTTCGGCCCGACCGGGTTTGCACCAACCTGGGTTGGATTAATGGCGTTTTGCGCTCTCCTATTGGTAGAGCGAAAACTCATTCTACGCATATTCACTATGGTGGAAGAATTAAGGTGCAGCCACAATAAAAGGAATAAGGAATTAGGAATAAGGAATAAAGATTTTAACCTATCAGATATCGGATACACCGGAATATACGGTTTCTGATAGATTGGAATCTTTATTCCTTATTTCTAATTCCTTATTCCTTCTATTGTGGCTGCACCATTATTCTTTTAAGGCCCGTCTACAATACACGGAGTAAGAAGTAAGAGTAAGAAATTGACCAATCACAGTCGAATGATCAGAGCATCGGATGACGCAAATCGGATGCAGGGTGAATCCAGCATATTGCCTCGCATTGTGTTTAGGGCTTTACATCATGGATAATATGACACAAATAGCATTGATGGCGCGCTCCCCGAACGCAGCCTCAGTTTCAACTATTCGCAGTTGTTGATTTCTGTTGTGTATTCTTGGTATATTCTATAAAAGAGCAGTTGAGTGTGGACTAAAAATTGGACATATCGCTGAAGAGGATTGGGTGCTTCGTGTACGAGGCTGCAGAAGTTAATTTGATCAATAACTCGATAAATTGTAAAGTAAGTTGAGCTTGTATTAAGTTAAACATTTATTTTAATATATATTATGAGAGCCACAAGTGTTAAATGAAAAATAAAGTGGATATTTTTCAAGTTTTAGGTTTTAGGTTTTTATTATTCCTTTCCATTTTGCGCAGTTGATTATTGTGCTTACGTTTGACTTCGAGGTTATACTTATTGACGTTACTTTTTTTTTTACAAGAATGGACATTTTATCTTTAAATAATTACCCGTTTAGTTTGCATTAAATTGCGTAAAACGATTATTTTAATATTATTATTGGCAAGCGACAAATAAGTAATGAAAAGTAGTTTTCATGTTTTATTTTTTGTTCCTTTTCATTTTGCACAGTTAATTATTGTACGTTAGGTTTGACTTTATATCAAGATTACGTATACTTGATGGATAACGCGCCATTGTTTTGAGATTTTTACGAGACTGAACATTTTATTGTCTTGCAATATAATACAACATCTGAAATGAATTGTATCATATATTTTAGGGAAAACTGCATCATACAAGTATAATGAATAAAATAACAGATAGTTCTTCGGACGAAGATGATCCATATACAAATTCCGTTGCTCGATTAAGAGGTAACACTTTCTTTTTTGTGACAGTTATGTTAATTTATAATTGGAACATATGAGTTCTTCTAATCCAGACATTTTTCTTAATTTTTAAATAGTAATGTGATTTGGAATAATTTCATGTATCATAATCTCATTTTTCAGTTTTAAACTTGAAAAGTCCTTAAAAAAGTAAAACTAATAACAAAATACCTTAGCAGGTTGTAATTAAAAAAACCCATATATTCTTTTAACGTAAAAAAGATGTGTTTCTGTTACTGGTTATGAAAACCAAGTATATAGAAATAAAAGCAACTCTGCAATGTATTTTGATATTTGGAATGAATTCTTACAATTAAATGCAATATTTTGTTTTTAGCATTGAAAAAACAACGCTTTGAGAGAGTGGAACTTTCTCTTAAGGAGAGGTACTTATTACATAAATCATGATTATATAAAATATTATATTAATTACGGAATACTAATATTTTTACATTACATGAATAATATCTATATAATTATTAAAAATAATAAACAAAAATAGATTAATAGATTAAAATCAAATATATATGATATGCAGGAATATAAAAGTCAAACAAAGTCTAAGTGCTGAATAATATTTATAAAAATAAGTATTAGTTATATAAATATATAAACGTTTCGCAACTTTCGGTTATCTATGTGTTAATTGTTAAATTGTAAAATTAAGACAATAATTAAAGTATCAAGGATTAAGAGCGCAACAACAAGTTGATCTATGCTAATGTTTCAGTTTATACATAAATATAAACAAACGTTTCGACCATTATATTCAAGTCATTTTCAATGTTAATATTATACATGATATAAGATACTAAAAAGAACGCGTTTATAAGACCTACATATTAAGATACTTAATTTTTTATCACATTTACATATAATATCCTACTATAAAACCTGTGTAATCTTCCTCTCGCATTGTCGATTGAATTCCAGTTAACATTATGTATCTCTTGAACACAAATGCAGCATTAAAATGTCGTGTTTTCGGTAAAAATAGCAATGTGTCATTAATAAAAATTCGGTTGCCACCATTTGTCTCTTGACAAATTTTAAGTCGAAGTAGCCGTTAATTTTTTGAAGTGGTTTGTACTGAACGCTAGTATCAAATTATAAAAATATTATACAATTTGAAATGTTCTGAATTTAACTATGTTATATTATATTGATTGAGTTCGATTTCAAATTTTTTATGCGCAAAAATTAAACATTACGAGGATCGAGCAATTTAAAAAATATTCCATATTGAATAATTTTGTTATCCATGTAAATTATAAGTTACAAGTTCTAGTCTACATATTGCATCTCAAATCTACAGAAATATAATGGATAACTTATTAAAAAAGTGTTTAAGGTATGGAATATTTTTTAAATTGCTCGGTACTCATAATGTTCAGTTTTTGTGCATAAAAAATTTGAAATTAAACTCAATCAATATAATATAACATAATTAAATTTAGAACACATGGTAGCAACTGAATTTTTATTGATGACATATTGTTATTTTTACGAAAACATATTTTAATGCTGCATTTGCGTTCAAGAGATACATAATGTTAACTGGAATTCAATCGACGATGCGAGAGGAAGATTACACAGGTTTTATAGTAGGATATTATATCTAAATGTGAGCAAAAATTAAGTATTTTAATATGTAGGTCTCATAACGGTCTGTTTAGTATCTTATATCATGTATTAACATTGAAAGTGACCTAAATGTATTGGTTGAAACGTTTGTTTGTATTTACGTATAAATTAAAACATTAGCATAGATCAACTTGCTGTTGCGCTCTTAATCCTTGACACTTTAATTATTGTTTTTATATAATTGAGCCATAATTATATTGATTAATTGTAAAATTAAAATTGTTAAAATTTTCGAAACGGCAATTAATAAAAAAATTAGATTTAAATCTTTGTTTAAAAAACATTTCACGGTTAAAAATTTATTCAGAGCAGAATCTGTTTTCTTTGAATAAAATGTTGATTACGAAATGTTTTTTAAATAGAGATTTAAATACAAATTGTTCTAATGATTGACATTTCGAATATTTTAACACAATTTTAATTTTGTACTTTAACGGTTAAGAGAATGCTGAATAATGTTTGTAAAAATAAATATCATTCATACAAATATGCAAACTCAATCTAAGGTTAAAATATTTGCGTATTTGTACGAACAACACTCATTTTTATACAAATTATTCAGCATTTAAGCTTTGCTCGATTTTCATATTTCTTTGTTTATCATATTGTATAATATTTTATTTATTTTATTTTCAGCAATGCGCAGAAAACAAACTGTGAAGACATAAACGGTCATGGTAAAGATATAAATGATGAAATAAATAATGAAATAAATAATGAAAACGTATATTACGATGAAATAAATAATGATGGAATACAAACGCGAAGCAGGACGGTAAGAGATAGAAGGATTAGAAAAAGTATTACTAGAGCTGTCGATAGGCGAACTAGGGGAAGGGTAATTTTTTTTTTATTTTTTTAAATTGTGCGCGCGCGCGTGCACACACACACACACACACACACAGAAGATGTCCCGTAAGCTTTGACAAAGCGCTCGTGTGTAGAACGAACTAAATTGAGTCGAAAGGTCCTCTATCATTTTGCAATTTTCGCAATAGTTAACAAAATATTAATTACTAAAAATCGCTGAATATTGGTTTTCATTAATTTTTTACTCAAATGTTATCAAAACTTTACAGAAAAACAGCGAGAGACAAAACTTGTTTATTTTCTTCTCATGTTTTGAGAATTTTTTAAGAATTTTTTAATACCGTATTTTCTCATGTTGATAAAAATAGTTACTAATAAGAAAATGCAGTACTAAAAAGTTAATTAAAAATTCTTGAAGTTCTATGAGAAGAAAAGAAACAATTTTTGTTTCTTGCAGTTTTTCTATAATTATTGATAGTATTTGGGTAAAAAATTAAAGACCAATTTTCGCCAATACTTAGCAATTAATATTTTGTTAACTATTGCGAAAATTGCAAAATGATAGAAGACCTTTTGAGTTTAGTTTACTCTATCTGCACACGAGTATTGTTGTCTCAAATATTCTTTAACAACCTGTATATATAATCTATAGAATATGCATCAATGTTTAATTCAAGAAGATATTGCATAATTTTTATGTTAATGTTTCAGCGTTTGCCTGTTGATCTAGAGTACGATGTGGAAATCGTGGAGAAAGAAAAGCAATCCGAATCTTGCAATGATGTAATTGCACTTTCAGATGATGATGCTTACATTGAAGATGACAACTATGAGATAAATATAAAAGTGTACTGGCGATCAAACAGAATTGATCGTTTAAGTATGCGTAGAGTATGTATCTCAGTTATGTGTTAACTAATAACATATGGCAAATCGTAGTTTCATATAATTATTTTTATCATTTATTTAATACATATTTGTGAAGATAACTTTCTGTTATTTTATAGCATGATAATTTCAAAGGTATTTTTGAGCATTATGCCAATTTAGAAGGAGTTTCCATGAATGAAGTCTTAATCATGAAGAAGGATAAAGTTGTCCAGCATACCGATACCCCTGCATCGCTCCAAATTTCCATTATAGATATACTCGGTTCGTATAAATTAGTCGTTGATTTTAATACAATAATGTAATGTTTACTTTATACTTGCAGATGGTGGTATAGTGAATCCAGGTATGAACACATTACCCAAGGATGAGAGCAATGATGAGGACATATGTAATATTAAAGTACAAACGGCGAACAAAAAACAGTCCTTGATTATTCCACTTAAGAAAGATGAACCATTCAAGACGCTATTCGCTAATTGCGCCGAACAACTTGGCGTGAAGGAGAATAATTTGAAACTTTATTTTGATGGAGAACAGATTAATCCATCAGATACTCCAGAGTCCTTAGATCTCGAAGGAGAAGCGTGTATCGATCTTCATATCTCTGCGTAACGTGTAATAAAAAGATAGCTGAAATTTTTAAATACATTTTTACATACATTGTATTCATCTTGTATTGTAAGCATGACATTTACTCATACATTCTTTATTACGTACTTTAAAAACACATGTAAATTATCATGTGCCTTCCAACAAGCGACACAGTGCGACACAGTGATCATGTCATCTTTGTTTAACATTGACAAACAACGATATAATGATCCATTGTGTCACACCGTGTCATTTGTGTCGCTTATTGGAAGGCACACATCATCATGTCAGTAACTATACATGACTGTTATTTGTAATTTAATAGAAGGTGACTGATCAATTTTTAAAAAGGCCTTAGTAGTGTATATTATTTACTAATGTAAATAAATAGCTATTTGCGGAAATATATACGCGGTCTTAAAGAAATAAGTACAAGCAATAAATATGTAAATCAACTTTTAAAATAAAATGGCATTTGTAGTAGAATTATTAATTATTAAGGAACATAATATTTATTACTGAGATTTTATCTTTAGTTAGTTGCTAAGAGTTAAGTAAAGAATATGTTAAATCAAAATAGTATATAAGTGTTTGCATCTTGGATTATGTTTACTGATATAATATTAAGTGTTATGATATTAGATTTGTGGAAATAAATTTTTTAAAAAGATATTTTTACAACAACAACGAATCATATATTTATTGTGATACATTATTATATTATACATAATGTACATAATATACTGATATATGCTCTATAAGTATACAAATGTATTATATACATATAAAGCGCATTCAATACTTCTGTTTATTACGATTCTGCACAATATATTGACTACTACATTCAATTGCAATTTCTATTCTTTTTAACACAAGCAGTCAAGAACATTAATTATTAATAATACATTTCATCCGCGTTAACATTCCTATCCTGAGAAAGTACACTTTGTCTTGTTTGTGAACACCAATTTTAATGAAAATTTTGAATCGATATCGAATATATCACCAAATATTTCATCGCTATACACTTTATGTTCATGATTACCGTCTGTCAGAAGGATAGGGATAAAATAAAAGGATATTTGTGATGAGTACTATACAATTTGTTTACGACTCTTTCAACGATAAATATTGCACGGCAATTGATCAAATACTTTCATTGAAAATATTAGGCATGAGTCTCGACAAAAAGTGTGTCGTATGCTAATTTTATTCTATATAATACATGATAATGTGATAGTAATTTACTGTCAAAAGGAATGTTTTGGAGAGTCAATCAATTGTCGAGAAAAACTAGCTTAATCATTAAATTTGCGATTTGAATTGTGTCCAAACAGGGCGGAACGGATCTCGGGTATCAATTGTTGCGCTATCAGCTCTAATCTGGTCTCCAAAGTATTGCTAATCTTTATGCGCCCTGTGGAACAAAAAGTTATTTCGTATACAATATTAATTCAGCAATTAATATAATTACTTTGTTAAAATCAAAGTTGTAATTCAAATTACTTAAAATTTACGTGATATATTTCTCATTATTTTTGCAAAATGTACTAAAATTAATAATTTAATACAATAAAAAATATATTTTGATGATATAATTACCTTTGGATGCTAATAATTCCACACCTCCACAGCTTTCTGTGGGCAAGAAATTATCAGAATCGATCTTCAATACAACATCTTTCTTAGTTTTCTGCTTATACTGCTGCTGAACGTTGTCAATAAGGGATTCTACGAGCGGTATATCAACTTGACGAACACGAAGAGTAATGTTTGATTCTGTTAGCTGTAAAAATATAAATTATGCTATAAAAATGTTTATAAGGTTAAAAAATGATAAACAACGTAATACACAATAATAACAAAATAATTAAAAATATAAAAATATTACTTGATAAAGCCCTTGGATTATCAGTAGTTGGAGAATTTCTTTATACTGCGCAGGGTTACGAGTTACTTCACCTAATCTCTTTCTAGCTTCTTCAAGAACATTGCGTACATGATCTTCACGCACTTTTAAGGCCTTCAATCGTGCCTGATTAAGCATGTTTGAAGATTGTCTACAATTAATAAAATTATAAAATAAAACGCAAACGTATATTAGGTATTTTTATAATTTCTTATAAAATAAATAAAATTAAAGCTTAAAGAGATTCTAAAGTCATCTGTTTTTTTACCGATTCAGTAGGACTTGCGCACATATGATTCATGTGTTATTGATACATTATTACTGACCACTTTTATCAGTCTCCTGGTCCACTATGCAATGTATAGTATATACACATAATAAAATAAAATAAAATAATTTTTCATACATACATCTTTTTTTGCAGTTCAACTTGTTTTTCCTTTTTCTCATAATACTCCATGATCTTGAGACGCTGTTGTTGCACCAGACGTCCCTTCTCAATATTAAATTCTTCTTCTGCCTTGGCATCTATTTCCTCTGCCTTTTCATTGGCCTCTTGTTCTATGAAGGCCATCATATGCTTGATCTATAATCATATAATTTCTTTCTTGATCTTCAAATCTTTATCTCCAATATCTTAGTAAGGGACTTCAATTTAATTACTAAATTTTTCAATGTTTATTTCACAGACATTAAAACGACTAATGAATTTCTCGACGAAATATCAGTTATTGTCCAATTTTCACGAACCGTCATTCATTTATTCGATTTTACTCTCGCTCCGTTCGTCTACTGGTACAAGAATCGCGATTTAGAGCAGCTATGAAAATGAGAAATCCGAAATACTTGAGAAAATATATAATCTCTCTTGAGAAATGTATCTGACGAAGGTAGTAACGTTTTAGCGTAACAATAAATAATCAAAAATATATTAATAGCGCAAGAGTACAATGCTGAGCTCGAAGGAGGCGATGGCGAGTTGGGGAAAAGGATGGATTGTTCCGTTAACGGAAGAATGCGTCACACAGGAGACTTATTTTTCCTCGCTTACCTGCTTCTGAACGTCTGCGTCGCTGAGAGCCATGATGTCGCCCGGTCAATTTTCTTCCCTAAAAATGCTCGGTGGGCTCGCAAGGATTCGAGATCACGAGACTCGGCGAAGAGGAGTCGTTCAGTCAACGCCTACGACAGCACGTCCAACGCTCGGCGTAACGTCGGTCATATGACCCGAAGTGTGACCAGCCAGAGGCGCGTTCCGAAATGCACACGACGATGGCAGTTACAGAGCCTCAGGATGTGTTCCAAAATTTACTGCCGGTACTGAAAATCTATAGTGCACGTATGTAAACTATAAATTTTCAGTACTGACAGTAAATTTTGGAATACAGCCTCAGAGAGAGCGAGAGGCAAATTTGTCGCGCGAATAGAGGCACTGAACTATATATATACTGGAATGAACATCGAGGAAAATTCGTGGCCGCAATTGATCAGCGGCCATTTTGGTTGGGACAAATATTTGAATCGGAAGAATTCGTGTGCGCGTTGCGATCGATGTACTATCGATGTGTGGAAATCTATATGAACATGAATGGTAAACAAAAATAATATCACTTCAATTTTACTAGTACTCTACTCACTACTGTATCCACACCCCACTGTCCACACGGGTTACTAAGGAGCAAGAAAAGTTAACAATCTATTGAATTACCAAATAGTGATTTTTTCCAAATGAAAATAATAATAAAGACGTCTTCCCAAAATGATTTCTAATCGATTCCATTCATAAAACACATCAAATAAAATCGTCTGCTAACTTGACACATGATAAAATTTGTTAATAAGAAAACTATGATTACCCAAATTTCTCCAAGCGATTCCCAAATTATATTGATATAAATAAATCCAAAATATTCAATGTCTGCTATCTTGTCAGTGGTCTAATCAGTCAAGTATTCCTCTCTCATTCGACTGTAACAAGGAAATACTCAAAAATCAATTTTTAGACTACGGCATACAAAATATACGATTACGGCAAATATAAACACTCCCTCATAGTTCAGTGGATAGAATCCCTAGTCTGCATTATTAATCTTGATCAAATTCAACCTTTGCTTTATTAACTAATAATTTTTCACAGCATATAAAAGGAATATGTTAAATAACAAGACTTTCTATGAAATGATCTTATATTTAATTAAAAATATTATTTCTTTTCAACTTTTTTCGTACTTTTACTCCCTTTTTTCAATCTGTAAAACGCATCCGTCCGCAACTTATTTCTTATCTGCCTCGCTTTACGCAGCTTGAAGCGGTCAAAGTCGTTGAGTTCTGCACGCTGAAACAGAAAAATATTTTTCTCAAATGTAATATCCAAAACATATTATTCCAAAATATATTATTTCTAAAGTTGAAACTATGTCATCAGAATCAAGTTACAGTCGTCAGTAAAAGTCAGACGGCATTTCCTATCAAAAAACACTGGTTCATCACATATTTAATTTTTATAAACATAATTTTTCAATATTTCATTTTTTTAAGACAAAAATGCATTAATATTATTTGCTAGAAATGAAATAAGTATGATATTTATTTAATATAAATATCAACTATTAGCTTAATAAATAATTAACATATTCTGTAATACTTTCTTCTTGGCTTCAAGTTTTTTGGCCCACATCGTCTCTTTCCAAAGTTCGTTAATATTAGCCGTGTCCCATGCTTTACGCACGACACGAGAGGATCCAGAAAATGGAAAACGTAAACGGAATTTTGTCAAGTGAAGCTCATTGAGTCTCATCTCACCACGGGATACACCAGATAATGGACTATCGACCAGAACCTGTATGTATAAAAAGGGGATCAGTTGTAAGATTTGAAGAATTTAACAACTTATTAAAGAAGTCACAACTATATTATTAGAATGAAATTAACATCACCAAAGTCAATCGGCAATTCGTATCATATTATTATTCCATCATACAATATAGAAATTATCATAGTTTATTATAATATAGTTATTTATAGAATTTATTGTAGAGTTATTATAGTTATATTATATACATAAGTTTATTATAGAGATTTCTTATAGATTATTAGAGTTTATTACAGAAATTTGTACATAAAAGCCACACAATGCTCTTATTTTATTTGTTCAAGTTAAGTCTTTCTGTCCACATTTAACACGATCAATATAAAAATGATATTATATACAAAAAAATAACTAAAATAAAAACATCCATGTAAAGTTTGCTGCGCAAATAAAAAATTATTCTAATTAACGTTGTTGCAACAAATTATTAATCAATGGCTATGTTCAACAGAACATTTATTTTGCAACTGTTGGAAGTTTTCTTTGCATTGATTGGATTATACTTTTAAATCTAGAATAATACATCCTATCTCATCAATCATAAAATGGTTGCAAAACTGTTGTATTCTATTGAATGCAGCAAATATATAAGCTACAAAAAATTATTTAATACTGTATAATTCTATAACTTTTTTATACCAAAAAGATTAAAACATTTTAACAGAGAGAAATATTGTTTATACCCGATTCTGATCAATGACATCAACGATGGTAACTAGTTTGCCTTGATAAGGACCATCGCTCACATAGGCCACACGGCCAGATTGTACAAATCTTTGGAACGGCTGTTGAAAAAGGACAAGATATTACTAATAGCATTCGTAAGCTAAATATATTAAATTTATCTTTAAAGAATAAATTCTTTAGTATGTAAATATTAAAATTTCATACACTTATTCAGTGAATACACTATACGGTATACATGCGCTATACATTTTCAGTAGTGGCAGTGAATATCGGAACGCACCCTATGTGAGTTGTACAGAGGCATATTTTCATTATCCATAACCAGAAGCAACTGCTGCTAAGGCTATCTTTGTCTTCAGTGACCAGAAAACGAAGATAGCCTTAACCACGGTTACTTCTGGTCGCATAACGAAAATATGTCCCAGTTATTTTAGTGTTTCTCAAACATCAACAATAAATGGGAAAAACAAATTGAGTGGCACATGTGCATTACAATTGGTACTTTACAGCTTTTTCTTTCGTACAGATGTTGGCTTCAGGTTCAACGGCGTAGCCGCCCCAAACCAATAAACTACTGTCTATACGTCTCACATGATAGATTTCCTAACATCAATAATTGTCAACTTTAACGCTCAATATCTCGTTTCGCAGGGCAATCTCAAACTTTTTTCTGCCAGATTCTTTCATTTTATGCAAAAAACGCGTCGAATGATCCTAATTTGATCGAAATCGGAGGCGAATAAGCTCTTCTGGAGAATTAACTTAAAAATAATTTATTGCGCGAATAAATAATATTGACCGAATTGCGCCACTATAAGAACGCAAGATACGTCTAGAATCCCATTTGAAGATACACCATGCGATTGACGAACAATAACTTGACGAGGTTAAGTCGCAAGATAATTCGCAAGGCAAAAGTGACCGTTACGTTAAAAATTGCGAGCATGAAACGAGAAAAACGGAATTCGCGGAAAATCTATCCGACGTCTGTTTCTTCTTCTAAATTTGATTGCCCCTGGTTTTCAAAAATGAGATACACGTGGCCAATTACGTCCAAAACACAAAGTCGGCAAGACTTCCAAAAAATTTGAGATGATGCAATATCCAAACCGAGACGTTCGTCCCGATTCACGCTCGTCACGAAACTCCTATCCGACGTCTGTTTATACAATTTTGCACGATCATTATTTAATAAGCTTCACCATTCAATTACCATGTTCTTCTTCTAACACGCCTTCAGAGAGAAAGACTGAGAAAGACCATAGTGGAAAGACGGTGAGCTTAGAGGCCTAGATTACCTAAATAACAGAGATGTGACATAGAAGGGTATGGTCTAATTGGCTGTCTAAATCACGTGATCGAGCGCCATTTTACTGCGTATAATTAGAATCCTAGGACTCCACGTATAGAGTCTAATAAGGTATGTACGTATAATGTATGTATTATTTTAAGGGGGTGATCCCGATTGATCACGGCTCGATTGGACACCACCAATCACAGCGACCGGTGCTTAGAAGCTTTGTAGTCTCAAGCGCTGTGAGTGGCTCGTGTCCAATTGAGCCGTGTCCAACTGGGTGCCACCCATTGTAAGTACATACTATACTTTCTTCTTTTTCTAACAATTTAACTTTCCTCATGTAATGCATCAGCTGTTATCAGCTTATAAAGGTACCTTTTCATGTCGACGCTCGACGCTCATTTTCGGCGTCAAAATAATTCACATGATAAGGTGCCTTTTCACGCTGACGCTCGACGCTCATTTTCAGCGTCAAAACAGGTCACATGATCAAAATTGACGAATACCAAGCGTCAATTTTGATCATGTGACCTGTTTTGACGCTGAAAATGAGCGTCGAGCGTCAGCGTGAAAAGGCACCTATAGAAATTGGCGAATATCAAGCGTCAATTTTGATCTTGTGATTTATTTCTACGCTGAAAACGAGCTTCGAGCGTCAGCATGAAAGGCACCTTATGGTTATAAGTACTTAGCCTTAAACACAATAGGCACTGGAAATAATGAGCAGTCCAATGAGAGCTCTGGAATATAATATCGAACTTATAGCGTTTTCGGCCCGACCGGGTTTGCACCAACCTGGGTTGGATTAATGGCGTTTTGAATCAGAGCTCTGACTGGGGCTGCGTTCGAAAACATCATCCGGGTTTCTCCGTGTATCATCTTATCCTTGTTTAACACTGAGTGAACAACGAAGATAATACGATACGCGGGAGCACTCGGGTGATGTTTCCGAACGCAGCCTGGATGGCTCGTTATTCCCTGTTGCCTGTTGTGCCTATTGTGTTTAAGGCTTAAGCCTTTATACTGAATTAAAATGTCGATGACGACCTAACCCAACCGACGTAATGTCGTATCTCTATTCTCTGTTATCGAAGCCTCTACTACTGTTGCGCGTCAGCCTCAAATATCCCGAAGTCGTTTGCATATCCGGCAGAAGGCAGAAGTCGCGATTTCAATAGGAGAGTAAAGGGGACGCCGAATACACCAATTAGCCTTGTCAAGTCTTGTTGTTTCTGAGTTTTGTGACCATGGCGGATCCGCTGAGTTTATTGCGGCAGTATAATGTTAACAAGAAGGAAATAATCGAACGCGAGAACCAGATTATATTTGGCGAGTTCTCCTGGCCCAAGAATGTCAAGACCAATTATCTGACTTATGGGTGAGTGTACATACAGCAAACACGTTGTCTTGGAACTACTCCGTGCGGTTACAATCTGTGCTTGACTGCCATCTCTAAAGCGACAATAAAAGAGGCAGAAAGAGGGAAATACGATGTATATACGATGCACTAAAGTCTAATAACGATAGAGACACAAACTCATTACAGATGTACTTTTGCCAAGTCGAGCTAGGAACATTCACCATGTGCCTTGTTACGTCTGTGATTTTCCTCTCTCAAATATTTTTTAATTTTCTTTAGAGACTCCAAACTTTCTAAGATTTGTATTTTTTTGCGATATTTTCTGTATATTTTTTAACAAAATTTAATTTCTTTTTCTGCCGATTCTGATCTTTATTACAAGATTGATTCTTAATCCTCTGGAACTAATGCCAAAATCTATAACACAAAGTGCTTTTTAGCAACGGAACACTGTCATAAACTGTATGACACTTAGTGTTGAATTTTAGCTGAAACATTGGTTAGCTTTTTTATTTTACCACAAGTGAAGTAAAAAAAAAAGATCTTATACATATATATTTGAAATTCAGATATATTTGGAATCTGATTATACTTAAATATAATCTTAAAATCTCTTATTGGAGTATCACTTTTAGAAAAATAAATAGTAATAAAATATAAAAATTTATATTGTTTTTTTTTGTGAAGATTTATTGTGATATAAAACGATGATACAGTCAAATACAGCATTTTAGTTGTATACATTTGTGCTAACTATTGTTATATTTAGAAAGCACTGAATTATGAGTAAAAATTATATATCAAATTTTAATTAATATTATATCTATTATATCTCTTTCTTTTGCTCAATTATTGGTCATTATTAGGATTTTTATAGAACCTTTGTAATCTAAACAACCACTAAACAGTAGGTTCCCAATAGATTTATGTCAACTTCAGAGGATTAAACTTTATTTCATAATATCGTCTGATTTGAGTGTTTCATTTTTGCATGAATAATTTTTTCTCTTACTTGCAAAGACTTGTAAAACCATGCTTGCTCTGATGAAATTGGAGCAGAAGATATAACATTATTTCTCTTATTTTTGCTTTTTTAGTTGAATTCAAAACCAAAACTAGATTATGGTAAATTAGATTATGATTGTAAGTTCAAAATTAAACATGTATTTTTGTATGATTTTTTCCTCTCTAAAAAATTCTTTGATTTTTCTGAGAGATTTCCAAACTTAGCATTTACTTTTTTATGATACTTTCTGAACTCTAACAAAATTTAATTTCTTTTTCTACTGAGCCTTAAATTGATCCTTAAATTTTACTGCTTCATAGTGTTTCTCAATCATTTTTCTTTCACTTGTAAACCTAGGAAGGATAAGATTATGTTTGTTCTAAAATAGCAGTACAAGATTGTTATTTTCTTACCTTTGTTTTCTTAGTTGAATTCTAAATCAAAACTAAATTGTGATACTTTAATTTTAAAATTAAACACGCATTTTTATTACAATTTATACTGAAAGCAGGTACATAAGTTTGGCTATAAGTATAAAAGCAACTTCAGATTTATTGCATTTTTTTTTGAAAGAAAAAAAGTAATAAAATCCAAAGGAAAACTGACAAAATATTAAAATTGTTATGACAATAAATGTTTAATTTATTTTTCATTAGATATACACAGACGTTTACATCAATTTGTACGAATGCTTTTTTTAGTTATAGCCAAGACCGCGTATATTATATATCTTATTTAAAAAGATATATAAAGATTGGTAATGATAAAATATTTATAATAAAATTGTTTATTATTTACAAAATGAAGAAAAATCTCTTTGAGAAGGATATTTATATTTCTTTCTGTTTTCCAGATCTGGAAAAGAAGGGACACCCAAGGAATACTATACACTCGAGTGTCTCTTATTTCTGCTCAAACATGTCCAGCTTACACATCCAGTGTATGTGCGACAAGCAGCCGCGGAGAATATCCCGGTGGTGCGTCGACCTGACAGAAAAGATTTGCTGGCCTATCTCAATGGCGAGACTGCCACGTCAGCCGCCATAGACAAGTCGGCGCCGTTAGAAATCCCAACACAGGTGAAACGCGCCGCCGAGGATGGCTTAGAAAGCGGCTCATCGAAAAAACCCCGTTTCGAGGAGACCCACGTGCAGAAGGTGAAGGAGCAGCTAGCCGCACGTCTGGATGCTCCTAAGGAAGCATCAGTTACCGTCGATAATATCAAATCTCTCTCGGAGGCAATGTCAGTGGAAAAGATTGCTGCAATCAAGGCAAAACGTTTGGCGAAAAAACGTACTACTATCAAGGAGAATGATGATATTGGCATGGGCTCGGATCTACGCGTAATCCTCGACATGGATGTAGACGATACAAAAGACATCGTGTCCCGCGAGCGCCAATGGCGAACACGCGCCACTATCTTGCAGAGTAGCGGCAAGATCTTCGCAAAAAATATCTTTGCGATTCTGCAAAGTATTAAGGCACGTGAAGAAGGTAGGCAGAAGGGCCCGATCGTGCCTACACCTATGGTGACGCCACGCTCGACACCCATGAGGCCTCTTCCACAACCAGCCGTCTACAATCGTTACGATCAGGAACGTTTCATCCGGCAGAAGGAAGAAACGGAAGGCTTTAAGATCGACACCATGGGAACGTATCACGGCATGACCCTAAAGTCCGTAACTGAGGGCACAAATCCCGCCGTGAGAAAACCCCCGACCAATCCGTCCGCCACGCCAACATCTGGTTTACTGCCGACATCCGCCGCTAAACTAACGCCTCAGCAAGCCGCGCAGAACAAACGACCCAGTCGAACGCCCATTATCATCATTCCTAGCGCCAACACATCTCTCATTACCATGTACAACGCTAAGGACATCCTCCAAGACTTGAAGTACATTAGTAATGAAGACAAACGGTCACAGGGTTGCAAGCGAGAGAATGAGGTGCTTCTTCAACGGCGGAAGGAAGGTGGTCTGACCGTACCTTACCGAGTAGTCGATAATCCACAAAAACTCACAAATGCCGATTGGGAGAGAGTCGTTGCTGTGTTTGTCATGGGACCGGCTTGGCAATTCAAAGGTTGGCCATTTGATGGCAACCCAGTGGAAATCTTTTCAAAAAGTATGAAAAAAAATCTCTTCGTAGCGAAAATACGTATACATATATGTACGATTATTTTGGCACTTTTATATTATCTTTTAGATTTTTCTCAGTTTATGGAAATAATGTGCCATAATTGAATTAGGCGTTTTATTACATTGCGAGAAATATACATAAAATACTGTAAATTTTGTAGTCTTTTCACAGAAAGAGAAAAACTCGATCATATATGTCATTTGTATTGTATTTTGAATGTGTAAGCAAAAAATTGTTTTTTCTTCCATAGTATGCGCGTTTCACTTGAAATATGATGAGATGAGGCTGGACACAAACGTAGCTCGATGGGCTGTCACAGTGATTGAATTGAGTCGGACAAAGAGGCATTTGGATAGAGCAGCGTTAATGATATTTTGGGAACATCTCGATAAGTGAGTTATTAATACCTTATTAATTTAATTTATTATCACGTACACATACGTATCTTCCTAATATAACAATCTTATTTCTGAAATTAAACTGATAAATTACTTTTTAAATTTAATCTAATCTTTCTAATTTTTATTGTTTTATGAATAGTATATTACGAGTAGAGAGTTGAGAGAAATTAAAAAACCGCTATATTCAGAAATTAAAAGTGAGATATTGGAACTCTTGGACCCTTAGTACCCTAGGACAGAAATCCTTATTTTGTATTCTGACTAATTAAAAAGGTTTACTAATTTTTTAATTTGTATTTATTTTTTTTTTTTATGAAACTTGTTTTAACAATTTTTTCTCTGTGTTTAATATTTTATTTTTATTTTGACATTAACATAAAAGGAAAAATATCGTATTTTTTTCAATAAATAACTAAATGTAGTATTTTGTAACATAGTATGTAAGTTTTTTATTAATAGGATAATAAAAATGCTTTAAAGTAATAAAAAATCTGTTTAATTTAATAACTTACTCTAAGATTTTTGCATTTTCAAAATCCTTTCTGCAGTTGGAAAAGTACTCAAATGCATTGTATTTTAATAAATAGAAATTGTATTTTCATGTCGTATTATACACGTTTTGTTGATTAAAACAATGCATTTTTCTTAATTTTCTAAAAGAAAGATCTTATTAAACGAAAAAATTATGCAAGTTTTTTTCTCTCATTAAAAACATTTCATATAAATGGAAATAACTACTTTTGCAAATGGAATACTCATATATATATATATATATATTTTTTTTTTTTTAAAAGCTGATATTTCATTATTCATTATTAAGTCAATATCTTTAATAACAATAGTTTAATAACAAAGTTTCTATCTTTACAGGCATATGATCAAGAACAAGCCGCATCTTCGTTTCTGAAATGATAAAGCGATTCAGGTTGCAGAAATGGCAATATATCGATCCCTGCGTCCCATGTTTCCATCGATTGGAATTTTTACCAGAAGATATAGGGCCGTGAGGTTCTTTGCCGATGGTGTTGTGACGCTGATTATTCGCGGATAAAGGTACCCGCGATAAGCAATGTGATGTATGACAACTGAGTCGTTGTCATATTATGTTAGATGCGTTTACATTTTATTGTTGCTTGCACGAATAAAATACTAAAAAAATTGGAACGAACTATGGGCCGGTCTCACTAATTCCGATTAGTCTAATCGGTCGATTAAATATTAACCGTGATTGGTCAATTCTGCTGAACAGCAAATGCGATTGGTCAGTTCCAATCGGTCGATTAAATTAATCGGAGTTGGTGAGACCTGCCCTATGCCTTCTTCAATTGAAAAGTTAAAGCGGCTCTACATTGAGATTTTAAGGCATAAAGTAATGATTACACATATATCCAGGTATTGCCCCCACTCTCATCATTATAGTTGAAAACAGAATGCTTTTTCCATACTTAGAAGCGTGTTTGGATTCCTACCCGGGTGTTCCTCAGATGTTATGTCATCCTTGTTTAACATTCAGTAAATAAGTATAGAGTGATGCCTGAGTAGGAATTTGAACATAGCCCAAATATGATCTCCAACAGTTCGGTGTGATCGAATATATGGAATATGTATATTGGGTACGTGAGCCACCAGCATTTGCGCTAAATACGTGTCTCAAATGTAAATTGTCCTCTATTCTTAGTGCCAGGTTGTACATTATTTTTCTATATTTTCTGATCTCTTAAAAGAATAAGTATCTCTCGATTACAAATTTTGTACTCGCGAGATTTACAAATCTAGCGCTTAGCTATCAACATGCTATTTTGGCATATTCCGATATTTTACTCTCCATGAAAACATAGACGTTTGTGGCGAAATATTGGAATCTGAATTTTCCCCCACTCTATGTTTTGAATGATATACTGATGAGAGTGGGAGCAATATCTGAATATGTCTATCAAAGGTGAAATCGCACCTTTAAGCCATAAAAAATCAACCAATGATAGTCGATTATTTTTTTTACATTCGATCGTGATTGATCAATAAACTTAAGCTTATTCCTATTGTGTTAAAAGCTCATTGTAGACGCTGCTTAATACTGTATTAAGTTCTGATGAAGATTATACTGCGTATTCAAAGCTAAATGCTTTATTCGAGGATCGAACAGAATACGAGTGTAAAAAAATTTCAAGTGCCAACACGACGAAGGTTTGTCTCGTTCAGTTTTTCAAGCAAGCTAGCAAGAGGTATTACATTTCGACGGTCGATAACGGTATTAAGTTTCTTTGCGCGTGCTTTGTAATTCGAGACGCGACACCGCGAATCCTCTCAAGGGAGAAAGGACGGAGCGAGGATTCGCGAGGGGAAATTCGGTCTGTTTTCCTTGCACCTAAAACCAAAGCCAAAGTAAATCGCTCGCGGCGCGATTCCGGCTACGGCACGATTGACCGGCTGGCGTTGTTTATACGTGGTTGATCGAATATTTCTAACTAGATTACCGACGCTCTATTACTTCGACAAATACGATGGATTTCCTCGTTCTCTCCGATATCCTCGCTGCGATACCGTTTCCCTCCCCCGAGCAACCACTTGAGAGAGATGCAATCGTTGCGCGTTTCTTTTCAATTACTTCTCATTATGTATTTTTTTCACGGAAAATTGAATAACATCGTTCTTTCTTTTGTACAACGAGTTAAAACTCAGTTAACAATAACACTGTAATTGGGACATACACTATCGCTCAAAAGTTTATCTCTAAATTTTGGAAATAAAGTGTAATTAATTTTACTTATTAATATTGTAAATATTACAAAAGTTTATGTTATTTGAAACATAAGTTATTGTAATAGTGTATATTCAAAAATAAAAATTGATAAAAATAGTATTTTTATTTAAAAACTATAGATTGCTGCAAACTTCTAAGCGGTAATGTGTAAATAATGTAATTACTTCTCAATTAAAGCAAATTTCGTATATAGATAAAAAAATTATGAAATGTTTTCAATCCCTACATATATATTTTCTCCAACTTCTTTTATTTAGGAGAATGAATATTAAAAGACTATTCTGCAGTAATCTACCGGGATAAATATATGTACAGTTAGCTGTACCTCTCTAGAGAAATACATTTAGGTGAACTTGTAGTTGCATTGCGTGCAATTGGGCTGCACACAAGGGATGCTCGGCAGTACGGCCGCGGCGGGGGGCAGATGATGCAGTATGCCCGCCGATCTGGCGACCGACAGCCGATCCGCCGCCACTTGGGCGCACATGTGCGCATCCCTCAGCTGCTGTTGCACTCCGGAAGTGAAGTAATTGTTGTAGCGAAAATTAAGAGCGACTGTCTCCTGATCGACCGCCGTTTTTGCGATCGGCAGGTCGGTCCCCTTGGCGAACTGCTCGGTCGGCACGATGTTCAGAAGGCAATAACCCGCATCCCCGTAGACGTTTCTGGACAGGCTGGTGTAGATCGGTGCCAGCATCGTGCCGGGAATCTGTTGCTGTTGTTCTCCCACGGCGCTGTCAACAATCGTTTGCGGGGGCCGGAAGGCCGAGGATGTGTGGCTGATACTGGTTGACATCGCTGGCTCGGTGATGCCCAGGTTGTCGCTCGCGAAGTACTCGATTGCCTTGAGTAGGTCCTGACCGCAACGTTGCAGTACCAGTTGCAGGACCGACAGCTTGGTATTCGGGAACAGGCGGGCTAGAGTCTCCACGGAGGTCTGAGATACCAGAGTGGTTTCCCTGACTCCCTCCAGCTTGCCGGCGTCGAAGAGGAAACTTCTGGATCTCGAAGAGGTTTCTAGGTTGTCCTAAGAGCGAAAAGGAAGTTGTATAGAAAAATCTTTTAAAGGGAGCTTTCTAACAAAGTAATTTGTGAAAGACCAGTTTGTTTTCTAAGAGTTTTTCTAAGGTTACTAAATTTGATTTTGTCTTTAGAATTCTAAACGTTTAGAATTTAAAACGGAATCCAATATGATGGATTGTATAACACAAAAATAATCTATTGATTATTATGAAACTTGATTTTATGAGTTCTTGGGATTACTGAATTTGAATGTAATCTAAAAATATCAAAATTCAAAAGGGTAATGAAAGAAGAACTCGTGTCACAGAGCTTACGTCCACAAGCTTGTCAAAGTTTGGAAGTTAATGCGCTTATAGCCACTCGTTGTGGCCTGTTACTAACGGTCAGTTACCAATTGTTTGTGTAATAAATCAGCTTTAAATAAAGCGAAACTGAAAATTTGATATTGCTTTTAGCAATGTTAAAGTCTCTAAAACTGAGTTTTATGATAATGAGATGACCCAAGCAAAACAATAAGCTACGATAATGTTAAAGGACATTTAAATGAATCGTGATTGATCAAATGAAAAGTGATTTTTAATAATTATTTTGGAGCCATTTTAACGTTATTTTTATGTTATTATGATTTTTTCTCTGTCTAAATTGTTTTTTTTTCTAAAATTTTGTCCACGCGATATTGAATCCGTTATTTTAAGTTTATATCTTTGACGTCAGATTTGAATATAAATGATCATTATTATTAGTTAAATTAATCCAATAGTCAAGTTACGTGAAAACAAAATAAAACAGGAAGTCGTCAATATAAGAGATCGCCCGTTCTCAAAGAATTAATTAACAATGAATCCAAATTGACTTGTCACATTTCGTTATTTTTTCTGATGATCCTGTTTTGTACGTACGGAACAGTTTTGAGTACGAGCGGGTAAAGCGTCATCGGTCGATACACGTGGAAGATCATTGGTATCCTCAGAAATTCCGTCGAGTTTCTTTGTAACGGGAGTCGCACTTTCATTTTGATCCACCATAGATTTCGGCTCAGTCACGGACATTCCGAAGATTTTGCCTGGCGGAAGTCGATCGAGCTTCTGTCCGGTGGCCACTTTTGCCATTTTAAGAGCGATTGCGTCCTCGGCTGCCTGTTGTCTCTTCAGAGCAACCTTCCCGAAAACAACTGTTTTAATCCATTTCCAAAGAAATAAATTTAATTTTTTCTAATATACTTACATTAAAAATTCAATAAATTTTAACAGACACAATTATTTCACGTATTTTTCACGTTTCTGGTAAAAGCAAAAAAAGATACAAATCGTAGAAGAGAAATTGATAGTACTAGAAAAAATATATATTTTATATATGTATATAGGGGAGAGTAGCCTAAATCGGACTGTATTATAAATAGGATCTTTTTAATTTAAATGAAAACGATTAAGCAGATTTACGTGCTATTTATAACGTAAAGTCTTTATAAGACACCGAACATGTGACAGCAGTTTGACACACAGTTTTCTGTCATAACATTCATAGAATAGACGCAAATATGTATTTTCAGCCATCATGCGAAAATTTTTTTTAAAAAGAAAATCCTTGTAAATCATTATTTAAAAGATGTTAAAAATTTGGAAGGTAATTGATTTAAGATAATTAAAGAGTGTAGAATTCAAAAATATCAAGCATTTTGCGATCACTTTTGCGGTTTATTGTAAAATTTGTTTCAAAATTCGAAAGAAATTAATTTTTTAATTATCTTAAATCAATTACCTTTCAAAATTTTAATACCTTTTAAATAAAATCCGTGTCCAAATCGGACCTCTTTTTGGGTGTTCAAATCGGACCTACAGTACAGATAACTTTTAAGCCTGACTGTAGTACTGATGATCAGCCGACCATATCTGATCGAAGGAATTAAATCAGAAAATATCATGAGTCATCAGATTCAGATTAATTGAGTTTTATTGATTTCAATTCTAATAAAATATAAATTGTCAGTAATTTTTTTTCTGAATAAAATTTTTATCTTAGACTGTAAAATTGCTCACTTTTACTCAATACTAACAAAAACACATTAAAATATTTTAAAATTCTATTTAAAAGTCAACAAAAATGGGAATGTCCGATTTGGATCAAGAGATGATCCGATTTGGAACTATTGGTTCCAAATCGGACCGGAAAAAATGTTTTTATATTTTCCATTATAGTTCAACACAGGTAAGAAATACGTCAAAATGGTCTAAAGCAAAAATGAAGGAAATTAAATGATTTTTCCAACGGCATATCGGTTTTACGATCCGACTTTATTTATGCTTTATAAAGAGCAAAAACTGCAAATAGGTCCGACTTACTCTACTCTCCCCTATATATACGCAGATTTTTAAAAATACATGAATATAAGAGAAAATATTCTAATTTAAAATATTTCTATATGCTAAAAATAGTTCATTAAATACTAATATATGAATAATGTATACCTATATCTATAATAGATAAGTCCCTTAAAATGCATAAATCTAACAGAAAATATCTTGATATAAAATATTTCTCTCTAGACGTTAGAAATAGATAATTTAAAGTCATAAAATTACAAAGAGGAAAATGAGTAAAAATATGGTTCGTATCGATTCGTGGAGTTCCATGCTATAATTAATATGGCGAAACATTCAACGTATATAAAGATTCTTATACATAGCGCATAACAATCGAATCGTGATGGATCATGACTGCGTTTGACTTATAAATGGACCTGTCGCTTATGTATGGGCCGCATTTACCACGCTGTTATTCCAAGCTGGACCACCCGCAATAATCTTTCACGTCGCTGATGCTGGAGAGAATCTACTAGGCCAGCTTCATCCCATTTTCTCGTCGATCTCCGTTCGATCACCAAAGTCCGAAAGGGATAACTATCCGATTTCACTCAGGACGGGTCAATATATCGCCATGTGTTTCTCTCTCCTCTGCTTGTTACAAAAGTATTCGCTACAAAGTCTTATTTAGGGAAATATGAGTCATACGACATAAAATTCAATCAGTGTACAATTAATATTGCGATTTATATT